GATAAGTAAGTTGGATACTGAATCACTATAGGGTGTTCAGTATCCAAGTCCCTGTCTGCTTCAGAAGGAGCTTAGGGTAAGCTTAGCCACGTAACTCAGGCTTCTCAAACTTAACACTGGAAGCGGAGAGTGGAAAGACTGCTCTCTTCTCCCATCTGTGTCTGTGTTTACAAATGAGACTCCCACACAACTGAGGAGTCCTTCCTCCTTTAATTAAATGGATGAGTTGACCATGGTGAGTGGCTACACTGAATCTTTGAACTTCTTATGAATTCATGATATAAGCAGTCTCTGCTTGACCATTAATTTAAATACTCATGCAAAATCTAGGATTACTTGATGATTTGCTCTCTTTCATGCAGGCTTATAATGACCTTAAAAGCATTAACTCAATGTGAGGTCACAGAATTATTTTAGCTGTGGATCGGTTGCTTAATAACAGTTTTCTCAGAGTCATGTAATCATGCCGGCTGTAAGGCTCAAGTAATTCTTTCATTTTCTGCCTACATATTAATGGATTTAACCACTCCTATGCACAAAAAGGAGAAATGAGTTTTCAGTACTTGGGTTTACAGCCTCCAAAACACACAGAGAAGCATGTATCTGCAAAATTAATCAGCCATTTTTGCAACTACTTAAGAAATCAAATGCTGTTTGAAAGTCAAACATCAACATAGTCACCTCTTACATAGTACAAGCAGGATCTCACAGTGTTTTACCATTAGTAATTAATGGCTTGTCTTTGACTATAGCTTAAATCAATTAAATAAGTTTATAGGCTGCAGCCGTCAAAAGCTAACAGATTTATTTTTAGTCATAATTTTTAATGGATAAAAATTTAGTCTGATTGTAAAGTGAAATCTCTCCTGATGAAATATTAAATGTTCCATAAGCAAAATATTTGATTTTGACATTACTGTGATACTGCCTGTCTTTTTGAGTGTCAGAAATATTTATGATTTTAAATAGGACAATATGTGGGTAAAATGTTTTTAAAAATTGCAAAACTAACAGAATATGTTCCTGCCTCATAATAAACAACTGTTGAATGATGTTTGTTAAAATTGGCTCTCAAGTGACAGTTAATAAATGCATAGTTCTATTATGCATGCTAAATTCAGCATTCCCAAAACTTAAAAGCAGATAGATCAAAACAACGGAGATAGATAAAAAAGTCACGAAGACAAAATACAGCAACACCAGTAAATGACAAGGAAACAATTCAGACTTAAAAATGACTTATTATTTAGTAACTTGTAACAACAATTTATAGAACTAAATTAGAGGCAAATCAGAGTCTTTCTGATGTTTTTGAAATGCAATTACTCTAGTGCGTATAGATTGATCATACAGCAGAGGAATTCAAATTACAAAGTCCCCTTCAAAAAAGCAAACCCCAGTTTCTCTATGTTTCTGCTTCCAGGTTACACTTATTCATGGATAATGAATGAAGGAAAAAAAAAAAAGGGTACAATAAAATTCAATAATTAATCTATTTTAATTAAAGCCCCTAAACATTTATTCAGTACCTGCAGAAGTTAGACTGCCTACATGTGGTCTGTGTTGCGTATGCCCAGACCATATCTGCACCGAGATATGCACACAAATACTGGATTTCATGGTCTTTGTGTCCTTTAATGTAATCACTCCACTGGCTCTTTGATGTTGCATAGGTTTGGTGTGATGATGGAAAGAGTTGCTTCAACCATGTATTTTCACCTCTGTTTCTAAAAGGCGAAGGGCAAAACTTTTAATCAAGGACCAGTTTATCTTTAATTAGGGAAACTATAATTAGGCATTATCACCTAATTGCTATTACTGATGGAGAAAGTAATATTTTCACAAGTAGTGACCCATGCTGTATTATCACTCTGCTGTTTACCACATAATGAATCCGTATTTGTGTTTGGCAGCTAGCCAGCAAAAATTAAAAGGTAATCAACATGCTTCTCTGCAGTCCAGTCATCAAAGTCACTGGCTTCTCAGATGAATAAATAACAAAGTCAAGTTGTGATGTCCTAACAGAAACCCTTCTTTAGGAATAACTATATTTATCTCCTCTGTCAAGACATCAAATGATACTTGAAACAAATATATACAAAAAGCTCCGCAAAATAGATTAGAAGAACTGTGCTATACACCTGGTGTTGAGTTAAAAAAACAGTTTAATGTCTCAAGGCACCACCACGGTAGAATTTTATACCTGCAAGTAATCATCTAATACACTATTATACAGTTAAGGTAATGTATTAATAAATAGCTTGTGTAATTTTGGGAAGCAATCTATAAAGGAATGTCAGATATACAGTAGGCACGTACTATAATACAAATAAAAAACGAAATTCCTAGAAAAAGCATGCTGAGCACCTTTTGGTATAGGTTGAGTTTCTTATTCTAAACACTATGTAAATCTTAACTTACAAAAGGTAAAACTGAAATCTTATAGTAACTGCTTATTTAAACTTATTTTCCTGGGTATTTGCCTCTATGTCACAGGATTACTCTTAGGGACAGAGGACTCTGGTACTGGCTGCAAAGGGCTATCTTGTTCATTCAGTTGTGCATTCAAGTTCTCAGAAGTTAGGAGAGAAGAGTTAAAAACTATTTCACTTAAGTCTGATTTTATGGATACGAGATGTGGTTCTTGAAAACTTAATGGTTCTTCTACTAACACCTGTGTATTTTCTCGCGTCATTCCCATATCTGACGGTGACTTTCGTTTCATTCTTGTGTATGATTTGTCTAAATTCTCCATGCCTTGGTCAGTTTTCTGAAATCGCCCAAAGAACCAGATGAAGAAACCAAACAAAGCAAATGCCAGCAAACTTGGAATAAAAGCCAGGCATTTGACATCAAGGCTAGAGCCTGTGAATCTGCTATGCAAGAACATGTCTCCTTCGGCATAGGTCCGGTTGGTCAATGGGTTAGTGTTATTTGATCTCCACTCCCAAGATAATTTAGTTCTATTAAGGTCTTTCAAGCTTTCTGAGTCCTTTACTGTATAGATCTTCTGTCCAGGACCGATATATTGACCATATTCATGCGGTTTGTAAAATATTTGGTTCTTCCACATATTCAGATCCAAGATTAAAACAAGGAAGATAATTCCATAGTTAAACCATTTGCCTGTTTGGAAAAAGAGAATTCTGTCATCTGATATATCCATTTTAGAAGCAGTACAAATGCAGTCATATGTAAAAGGTACTCAGAGGAAAAAAACCCCACCTTTTAAAATTAATTTATAAGGCAAAGTTGTAATAAAATTTCCATCGTAGTCAGATTTATCTGTAGTATTTATCCCCTAGTATTTCACAATTAGGTCTGGGCACATAATAAAATAATTTTGTAATACAAGCATAGCAGTATATCAATTGAATTCACATTGCAGCTTGTAGGTGACCTGTTGATTAGACCACTAGGTGATATGGTATAGATCAATAAATCTATAAAAGCCTTAATTCTAGGGCTTAAAAAATATTCACATGGAAATTTTCCATGAAAAGACCATATTTGATAGAACTGTTCATAAGCCAGGAAAGGCTGAAGTGACTGAAGTTTTTGGTGTTGGTAATCATGTAAATTTTAAGAGTATATACATACATTGTTTGACATACCAACCATGGTGTGCAGACATATTCAGGTGGGGGCAATTGGATAAATTGTGATTTAGAGATATTACAGCCTCGAGAAATATCAGAGAGATTGTAGGCTTGGTAGGCTAGACAGCTTAGCTTTTCCTGTAGCCTGTGTAGTGAGAAACCCCTCCAAGGAGTAACTCATAGTCTAACATTAAGCTCCTGCAATACTGGAGGAAGAAACTTTTTTCCTTTTATTATTTAAACTTGCTCTTTTGCATGCTTCCTCCAGGCACGCAAAAGACATTAAAGATAACTTTATGCAATTGCAAAGTCAGCCCTGATTTGTGTATGGTCTTGGAATGGATGAACTCTAGGTGTCCCTTCTAACCTAAATTATTCTCCGAATACACAAAAGAAATTACACTATTTTCATAGTCAAAGCATCTCTTACATTCTAGCTGGATGTATGTTAAGATCTTACCTGTGCAGCGATGACTGGCACCACCCAAGAACCAGAAAATCTACATGTCAGTATTATATGAAAGGACATGCACGGAGGAATGTTCCTGCTGGTGATGAATGATATTGGCCTATGGTGGCATCATATTCAAGTATGTTTCAAGCGACAAAGAAAATGAATGTATCAGAGTATCTATCAAATGCCTTATGCCATTGGCTTGTAAAGAATAAATGGATCCCAGTTCCTGAAAGTCTGTGTTCAAATTGTACGACCAGAACGCTCCAGGAGAGTAAGGAGGGTATCTCCTTGTATTTCAGCAATTGTGTTTAATAGTCCTCTTCAGTCTAGATTAAACTTAGACTGAAAACAAACAAGGATGTTCATTCTCTTGTGTTATTGTCAATATCCAGAAATCAAATTGACTGAAAAGTAGCCAAGCCTGTTCACATAATTCCTGAATAACTGCTCAATCTTTTTCTGGGTTGTCATTAATATTATAACTGACCTGACAAAGAAAATTATGGTTTTAGAAGAGTATCACCACATTTTATAATATTTAAGTTTCTTAAATCAACACCAAGACACTGAAAATGATGCTAAAATATGAAATACAGCAACAAACAATACAATCTAGCTTGATGTTTCCTGCAGATTTTTGCCCTGCATTTCATGTGTTTCTCTCCATCAGAATAATCCTTGCTTCCCCATCATGTACGACACTTCAACGGACAGAGACAGAATATATCTTGCATAGTGTGTGTTGATGGGCAGGCTGGGACACACATATTCACTGATCAATTGCCTGCTGTCAGACAGAATACAATGGCTGACTTCTCCCTGCTTTTTCTTCAGCTGGGCTCTAAGTTAGATGATTCTCCTTTACCTAGATACTGTTTCTTAGGACACAATGATAATGTCATTATTTTTCAGATTCCCACCCTCTGAAAAATGTTTTTGGAAGTGGCCACGCGCTCAAAAATTATTTGATGCTGAGTGTCAGATAGAGAGACAGTGAGACCAACCCACACAGAGAACATGATCACATAATTCTCATTTTCTTAGGAAAATAGGGTAAAAACGAATTACAATGAAACAAATATTAGAACCATTACGTTTATCTATGGCCAGTTTAAAAGAAAACATGATTTACTGCATTCTAAACTTCCTTTCTCTGTTATGGTTGTTCACTTGGACACTTTTTGAAATGGTAATTTGCCATCAAATATTACTCTGTGTTTCAACCAGAAAGCTGTTTCAACCAGAACGCCACTCTTTGCTACGTTGCCCTAAAGTTAGTTCCTTAAGCCATATTCTTTTCCCAGGAAAATGTGTTATAAGCCCATCCAAATATCCTCCCACTTCTTTTGTTATTGGCTTCATCAAAATATTATCTGTGGTACTTTGTGTTTCTGAGAGCCAAGACAGGCGACTTTCCAGAAAGATCTGCTAGACCCCAGGGATAGGAGGAAGGGGAAAATCTCATGTAGAAACTCTGTCCCTTCAGCTAGACATGGCAAGAGTGAAGATGTGTAGGGAGAAAACAGACAACTGAAAGATCAAACTACAAAGCATAATGAAATGGGGACATTATTGAGACAGGCTTTATAAAGGCCAAAACACACTGTTATGGTTTTCTTGATTGTAAGTTTCAGGTATGACTGACAAAAGAAACAGACATCGCAATGCTGAGCTATGACCTACCTCCTCTTCAGGCATGATGGCAACCAGTGGATTTCACAGCAATCACCTGTATGACCACATTGTCCTAAATGCGACTTGTGTAGAGCAAGCTACCTAAGGAGTAAGACTTGAGATGACAGCCTGCTGCTGGTGAAGAAGCTCACTAAGGAGATAGCAGAAAACAGTAAAAATGTTGAATAGAGGTAGCCAGCTGCTTGATCTCAAGCTTCATGTAGCATCTATCCTACACTGTGGTTTCATAATTGTGAATCTCTTCTAAAATGGATCTGTCTAAAAAAGGCTCCACCTGTCTTACGTTAAGAATTTGAGTGCTTACCTGATCTGAGGGAGATAAGCATTCCAATTATTCCTGTTTCATAAAAAGCATGAACTTGAAACTCCCTCCCTCAGCCCCTAGACGGAGTTAGGCAGGCAGGAGCACGGCCCTAAGCTCTGCTGTTGGGATCGTTTGGTCAGTGTGGACTATAAAGGGTGCGTAGACAAACAGCTTAGATGCAGACACCCCAGCTAACTCAGATGAATCACAACCTGTATGTCTCAGTGGCAGCTAGAGACCTGCCTCTGTTCTATAGTGGGTCTTCTCAAAACTCCCTAAATTTCCCATTCTCAACCATTTTTCCATCCTCTGCATCACTGTCATGCTCAATGAGCTCTATGATTTTTCCTTTTCTTTTGAAAACTGTTGTCACCAGAACCAAACACTGTATATGAGCAACAGTCTCACTATAACCATATATGAACACAATGACATCTTCTTACTCCTACTCAGTATTCCCTATAGCCAAGGGCTGCATTAATCTCCTTAGACACAAAATGACTGGGAGTTAGTGCTGTCTTGGTTACTCACAGAAAGTATTTGCCTCTTCCTATAACACAGTGTCCTCTGCTGCCTATCCCTCTTCCAAGACATGTTCTTCACTGCTGTACTAACAGGCGTGATAGCCAAATAAGTCCAGTTTACCAAGCAATCCTTCCAGATCAGTGCTAAATGTGTTGAAGCCAACTGAACCAAGGCCTGACAGTGTACACTCACAAACATTTGTTTGATGATAATTCCCCATGACAAGTAATTTTTGAGATTTATTATACTGACCAACATTTAACATTATACATGTGTATAATCTACGTATATGAAACGATTGTCTATTGCAACTCAGTTTTAGCATAATGCTTTTTATAGCAAACTTTAAGTCATATATCAAGCTTATATAGGAAATAAGCTTCATAAATTAGAAGTCACTCCTGACCTCTCATCTTGCACATAAACAAGCTCAAGTTTACAGTTTTGCGAAGGGTCAGAATAAATATATTATGAAGCTACAGATATTAATTTTCTTTTAAAATATATTTATAGTTTTTTTACAGTGCTTCAACTTTCATTCCAGATGAAAAGTAGTCAGGGAAAATGGAGTCCCACACTATGAAGTCATTTAATTTGTCTCTTAACCAATTTCTGTAGGATCAATACCACTATTGCTCTAGGATTGGCTCTACGCCAGCAAGGTCTGTGTAGCCAAGAATACTGGCCGCACAGACTGGCATATACCTGGCACCATTTAGCCCTTCTTTGAGCAGGTGGATTCTTCAAAGACACAATTTGAAATGGAAGGATGTAGTATGATCAGCTCCCAAGACCGGAAGGCTCATCAATCATTTCAGCGCACTGCAAAGAGTTATACCCAGACAATTCAATGCAGTACAATGAAGAAAATCATGTGGTAAAATAGGCTGTGTCATTCAGCATTCACCACCTGGAAAAAGACCCGGTTAATAACCAGCTTTGACAGCGTTGACGTCCTTACATGCTACACATGACATTTGGAGAGGCAGAAGTCTGGTTTGGTGTATTTGGAAACATGGTGCAATATTGAAAATTGGTGCAATAAAGATCCCCCAAAAGAAAAACTGGAGGTATGCAGCTAAACAAGCATTTGCACTGGGTGTCCATGTGAGGCTGTGACTCAAATTGTGAAACCTTTTTATTTTTGCATGTCCACTCTGTAAGAGAACAGTCATGCCCTAAAAAAGGGATCTCGTGTAGAAGCCAGTCCTTAGCATCGCTCCTGAGGTCAAGAGGAAACATGAAAATTCCACTTATTAAGACCAGACTCAAATGGCCTCATGCTGTGCAACAACAGCCAGAGGCTAGTGTAGGAAACGTTGACTTTAGACTCTTATCTTAATTGCAATTTGTGTCTAAAAACATTCAGATTCCTCTGTAAAACATTCAGGTATCTTCAAAATGTTCTTCATATCTTCTGTCACGTTAGTGTTATTAGCTAGATACATGTGTACAGACCACTCAGAGCTGAACTAAGCTGCAAATCCTCTGAGGTTTTTTCACATCTGTGTGCACGGACAGCTTTGTTTTTACCTCTAACCTTTCTATTTTTGCCCAAGGGCTCCCTCAGGCTTCCCTGTGTAGGCAATGCTTGGCCTCAATCTAGACACACTTTTGGTTTAACTCCACAAGCCAGCCATGCTAGGCACTCGCCAGCCATGAAGGTGATGATTTCTCCTTAGGGTGGAAGGGCACCCTGGCTAGATTGGCACTCAGAAATACGCTTATAAACAGCCAGAAAAATCTCCCATCTGTTTTGATACCCAAACCTTAACATTTCCTATTTGAGACTTATCCACATACTTGACAGCAGGTGCTCTTGAATCTCCAGTGCTGCTATTAAACGGTACCAACCAGGCCCTCTAGTGCCTTTTAACCATGAAAGAGTCTGAAGTAACAAAATTTACTTTCAAATTTCCCTGGGTGTTATAGAAACTAGGATAGACTATGTATTTTCACAAACTGCAGCCCAAGAAGAAAAAAACACAGTTTGCAATGAACCACCTGCCAAGGGACATCCGGATGTGTTAAGCAGACGCAGGAACTCAAGTTATTTTTTATGTTCATAGATAAAAGCAGCTATCAAAATAGGATAACAATATTTAATACTGAGTAGATGCTTGCTAGGAGTTTGTAGATGCAAAGAAATTTGAGCAAAATAAGGCACTTGGTTACCAGTAAAAATATGATATACTTTTGATAGTAAATTTAAAATTACACTGAAGCATATCAGCTACAGGCTGCAGATGTTAATTCAATATTACTGCCAACTTATAATATTCAGAAATCACAAGTCAGACCTAAGAAAGGATGCTATTAGTTTAAAGTAGTAAATGGGTTAAAAATAATAGTACTGTTTTATTTATCTGCTTTTTTAGATATAGAGTTATGCAGAAGCAACATTTCATTATTTTTTGATCATGGGACATATTTTATGAAAGCTGAAATTCTCATGTAGTCACTGAATTCAGGAGCCAAGACTTTAAGACCAAACATTAAAAAAAAAAAAAAAGAAAGCAAGCAACTGTCTGAAGACTTGTGATAAAATGAGGAGATTTGGCAACACAGAGCATGTAACAGTGAAATCCTTCATCTCTACAGAACTTGCATGAAGCCATTAAGCCCACGCCAACAGAAAGGTGGTTTGAAGTCCTTTACTCCTGTGACTGTCCCTTCACTTAGAGCTGCTGCTTTGTGGGACCGCTGCTATTTAGAGCAACCCAGCACTGAATAGGGCTGCCCAGGGGAGTCCTAGGGCTGCTCTTACTTATATCAATCAACAGTGACTGAAACAGACTATAAAAGAACTTATGAAGAATAAAATTTGCCAGGAAAAAAATGATAAATATTATTTCAGCCATGCTTTCTTTGTCCTTGCTATTTGGGAGAAAAGGGTTTCCAGTTTCCAAAAATCAGGGCACAGGTCACAGATTTACAGCCTGATGTTATCCCTACAGCAAGTACTAAAATAAAAATATTCTGGCTTTAGTCTTTTTTTTTTTCCTGTATCCCTATAGCAAGTACTAAAATAAAAATATTCTGGCTTTAGTCTTTTTTTCCTGCTTGTTGCTAAAAAGAAGTCCTATGGTTGAATTTAACATTCTGGATCCCATGGATTAAACAAGGCTTAAATACAGCAGGCTTCCTGCCATTATCAGTGTCCTACCCTTATGTCATCTGCTACCGTTGCATCCATGTGCATCACTCCCTACCCTCATTTTAGGTCGGATTACATTCATCTTGTTATATATATATA